CGTACCTACTGATCATGTTTTTGCTTGTTCTGAAGTGGAAGAAATATAAGCTGCAGGACCAGTATTATATTTACTTAGAGGTTGGTTTTTATTCTGTGGCTTGCATGCTTATGCATATGTACCTTCTCATGCCATAGGAGGACCATGTACTATTGGATGCTTAAATACTTATATGGCAGTAACGCATTTTAATGATATTAATCAGAAAATGGCTTTTTATTATGAAATGATGAATCAAAGTCTCTATCATAAGGATAGAGTACCACCTAAGAAGGTAGTGCCTCATACACATGATACTCAAGATACACATCATAAGCATGATGTACATGATATTACAGCAGGAAAAGAACCTGTAGATGGAACTCATACACATGAACATCCAGTACATGTACATGAAGATGGGAAAGAACATGAACATGTGGAACCACCTGTAAAGGGACAAGAGCCACATATCTATACAGGTGCACATCCTATAAGATGGACTATAACACCAGTGAATATTACAAGGAATGTTCAATTGAACGTATATAGAGGAAAAGTATCCATATTTAGTAATGCTTATGATGCGGGATGCAATGATGAGGTGATAATATTAGATAAAGTATATGCTGGAGTCTTGGGCATAGTGCCATGGATCGCAACCCAGTACAACCAGCTTGGCCATCTTGCTTGTGCTTTGGCTAAGAGCATCAATGAAACTTCATCAGCAATAGCTGCTTTAGCTGATGAAATGGGGGAGATCAGGAAGTCCCTCTTACAGAATCGCTTAGCTATTGATTACATATTGTTACAGATTGGACATGAATGTGAGGAATTTGAAAACTTTGTTGTTTTAAGGTTGGAGATTGTTCTCAATTCATTGAGGCTAAGCTAAAAGCTTTGAACAATATAACCACACATGTAACTGAAAGCTCTGCTTTTAAAAGTGTTTGGCATCTTTTAACTTCCTGGCTGCCAGACTTTTCTTGGTTAAAAGAAGTATTTGTGGGAGTCATATTTATCACTGTGATATGCTTGATCACGTGTAATTGTGTCAGATATGCTCCTTTATGCTTAAAATGTATCAAATGTAGCCAATGTTGTTTGATTTGTTTTACGGGATCTAACTGCACCAAGAAAAAGGTGACTCTGGAGCCCATCGCCATCCGCACAGAGCCTTGCCGCGGCTCCATGCCGTGAAAAACATAGGTGCGCGCGCACACCTCATACAATTACAGCCTCAGAGACTTCATAACAGCGGAAACTTGTTCTCACTCACCAGGGCTTCTGCAGAAGCTTCCCTCCGAAGCCCTCCAAGGGAGGAAGGGCCAGTTAGGAGAGGGGCTTTGGTTCTGCTCCGGGCTGTAATTATGTGGGTGTGCACACCCCTATGTTTTTCACGGTGTGGAGCCGTGGCTGGAAAACAAGGGGTGCGAGAGGACCAGCGGGGCCTTGTCCTTCTGTAGAGGACTTGTCACCAAAGAGGGCAGATGTGGTGCCATCAGTCTTGGGATGTTCTGCAGAGCCCCCCCAGGGAAAAACACTGCGGGGGATGGCTTTTTAACCAAGCAGCTATCAGAGAGAAGAGGGCAGCACACTCCCGGTGGGCTTGTGCAACAGCTGCTGCCCAAGCTCATGTGGCATGTGCGGCCCTCTTTTCTCTAATAGCTGCCTCATTTCCTAAGGAGGGGGTGGGAAATACATGTGTTTTCCTCCCTCTGCATGGATTTCCCACCCCCTATTGGTAATGAGGTGGCTGTTGGCGGGGCAAGCCTGGTGCGGACAGGTGGGGCAAGAGAGTGGCGACTTGGCAGGCGGAGGGAGTGAGCAAGGGGGAAGGCAATGGGAGGGAGCATTCCGATACACGTCCACTGGAAGAATGGGTACTGGAAGACACACTAAATTTGACCAACCGGTACGCACGTACAGGGGTGTATCCCCTGAAACCCACCCTGACCAGATGCCTAGTGAACCCAATGCTAGTGGGGAAACTGAGGGTTCACCTGAAGTGACTAAAGATACCCTAAAAGTGACTAAAATTGTCTTTTGCCAGCTGGACAGCTCTATCACACAGGGGAGCCAGCTACCTTTGCCACTGAGCCCTTGGAATTAACCATGGGAGACCACAACAGGACTTTAGTATTTATTGTGGCACCCAGGATGAAGTGACCAATGGTCATGGGTCTCATGTGGCTGAAGTGAAGGAACCCCAAGTAGACTGGAAAGATAGGACCTTAAGATTCCCATGGGGGTGATGGCACCAGACAAATGTGATGAAGAGCCTGGAGGTGGACCAAGAGGGGAAACTGCAGCCACTATGAAACCCAAGCTACCATAAGGCATCCCCCAAGAATACAGGGACCTAGCTGAGCTTTTCAGAGAAGAGAGTTCAGACGAGCTAACAGCCAACAGCCCACAGACTATGCTATTGAAATCCTCCCAGGGGCTAAACTACCAAAGCCTAAGATGCATTCCATGACCCCCAGGGAGTTATAAGAGTTACATGTCTTTATAGACAAAAATCTAGCACAAGGGTTCATTCAACCAGCCAGACCTAAAGTGGCAGCCTTTGTTCTTTTGCAGGAAAAGAAAGATGTTTCTCTTTGCTTATGTGTGGATTATAGTGGTCTGAATGGCATGTGCATGGAAAATGTGTAACCCCTTCTCCTCATGAAAGACATGTTAGCCCACCTGTCAAAAGGGAAGATTTTTTCCAAGTTGGACCTGCATGAGGCTTATTACCATGTTAGAATCAAGGAAGGAATTGAGTGGAAAACTGCATTCAATTGCTTGCTGGGATACTTCCAGTTTAATGTGCTGCCCTTTGGCCTACAAGAGGCTCCAGCTATCTTCATGCAAGTCACCATCCTCAAACTAATGGTGGGATGGAATGTTTGAACTTGATTCTAGAACAATATCTCAGATGCTTCATCAATCATCAACAGGATGATTGATTGACCTATTGCCCTTTGCAGAGGTGGCCTATAACAATGCAGTCCATTCCAGCAAAGGTTCACCCCCTTCAGAGTAGCCACTGGCCAGGACTTCAACCCCATGCCAGAGCTACCAGCAGAAGAACCTGAAGGAATGGATACAAAAGCTGTTAAATACCTGGCCAGTTGTGAGAAAAGCATTAGAAGAGGCACGGGCAGCTTACAAAGCACAGACAGATAAAAAAGAACAGAAACGAAGCCATATAAGGACGGAAACAGGGTGTATTTATTTACTAAGTTCCTGCAATCCTTACAACCCTCTAAAAAGCTGGGACCAAAATTTATAGGACTCTTCCCTATCCAGTGAATCATAAACTGAGTCACGATAAAAGTCCAATTGCCAAAACCCCTAAGACCAATACTCCAGTATTCCACTGCAGCTTCTTAAAGACCAAAATAACCTCACCCCTCAGATCTAAGACAGCCACACCACCACAATCCATTATGGTGGAGGGGGAACAACATTTCAAAATCAAAGAAATACTTGATTCTAGGAAACATCATGGGGCAACCCAATACCTGATTGCCTGGAAACACCTCCCACCCTCTGAAAATGAATGGTCCACAAAAAACATATTCAGCCCCTAAACTATTGAAACATTTTCATGACATGTACCCAAATAAACCTCACTAATTATTTCCATTTGTATCTCTTTCCATGCAGACCAACTTTCTTCTAGGGGGCAGCATGTCATGGTTCCACAGATCCCTATCAGGACACTGCCATTCTGATGGGGAGGGGGCCCTGGATACTTTTTTACAATCCCATTCCTGTTTCTGGTTATCCTGTCACTTTGATTTACCTACTTGGGACAGGGAGGGGAGAGGGAATTGCTTGGAGCCATCTGTTTTGTCTCAGCTCTGAAAAGATGGGCAAAGTGGCACCTGAGAACAACTTCTTATCACCTTTCTTGGCTCGAGTTTTCATAACAACTTTGCACTTGAGGATTGGCTCAACTCTGACCAGACATATGGGAGGGTTTTCTGCAACATTTAATCTAGCGGGTTTTTGAGCAGGAACTTCAGATCCTGCCTTGTTTTCCTTGCTATCTCTTTCCCTCAATAAAAGTTTCCTTTTGAAATAATGCCTGTTTCAAGAATTCTGCTTTCTTGAGGAGAGAGGAGAGGCAAGTCATTACACCGGGGAAGAAATAAGTCTGTGCAAGCCCACTGTGCTTAAAGAGGAAAATTATTCATTAGAGCAAAAACAGGGCTTCTTCTTCTTGCTTGCAATAAGGAATATAAGCAAGTTGGATATAATGAAAATGTTAAGCATTATGCAAGATAAAAGTAGTACTACTTTTATAACTCTGAAAATCTTTTAAAATGTGTGAGATAATTACGGGGAAAATGATTCAGTTCGAGAATCCAAAAACATGGCAATCTTATATAGTTATTTGGATGTGTTTTAAGAATGAGATCATATAAGATCAGTTACTAGATCAGTAGATAACATTCTTTGTCTATTGATATTCAAATTAAAATCATTGTGTATACATTCATATTTCACTGTCAAATCAATCAATTTACCAATCAATCAATCCATCAAAAGGGATCAATTAAATATAATATAATAAATCATTTCAGCAATTCTATTATTATTAATAGAATTATTACTATTATTATATTAGGATTTATGGTTTGTCACACAATCAGTTATGTTGTTACAGGATTTCAGGATATAAGCTGTTTCGAGTAAAACTGTATTTTGCAATTGATTGATGTTGAATTTTTCAATGCTAATGGTGTTCAAGTGGTGCTCCAGTAATTTTATGATAGCACCCAAAGTTCATATTAATATCGGTAATGTCTTTGCTCTCTTTTGCCACTGTCATTCTATTTCTATCTACAGGTCTTTGTATTGTTATCTTTCTCTTTTCTTTCAATATAATTATTATTTTGTTTTTGTTGTGCATTAGTTTTGATATTTTGTTCCTCATCCAGTGTTGCAACTGTGAAATAGGCAGCTATATAAATTAATCACTTTAATAAAAATAAATAAAAAATATGCATGGATAATTTACTTACATTTAGTGCTACTGATATTTCTTCTGTACCTTCTTGAATGTTTTCTGTTGCCTTGATTTTTGATTCCAGCTCATTCAACCATTTGTTTTCAATATCCAAATACAACAGAAGTTCATGCCAACATGCCCATACTTCCTGATAAATTAGTTTACAAAAAGTAAACAATTAAGAACAGTTTTTTAAACAATCTAAAATATATTTTGTATTATCTAAAAGATAATTGTACTTTCTGGCTGGAAAGAGACAAAATTACTTGGTTTCACACCTTCAATTTTTGTTTGCCTCCTATCCAATCTTCTGCTCATTGAAATTCTCGAGTAGATGATCTACTGTCTTGTACACAATGAAAAAGTGCAGTTGGCCATAAATATGATGCTATGAGCCATGAGCACACTATGCAAACACTATGCATTCTCTCGAACACCCCTCCCCTCCAAAGTCTTCCCTCTGCAGGGAGGGAGGAGAAAAGCAAGCAAATTCTATTGGCAATCTCTCTTTTTGCATGACCCTTTTCTACTGCTGGCTTTTTGCTAAGCAGTATCAATACTCTTCTTGGAAAGAAATACCAATGATAAATGTATGGGAGGTTAAAAGAGATTTACAGATATTCCTCAACTTATGACCATTAATTTAGCAACATTTTGTAGTTACAATGACACTAAAAAAAGGACAAACAACCAGTCTACACACTTACAACAGTCATAGCAACTCTATGACCATGACTTGGGCATTTGGTAACCATTGGGCATTTTTGACAAAGGCAGGGAGCGTCAGCCTCTACTTTGCTTGCTTGCTTTTGGCTGCCATAGAAACGAGGAGGGAGGAGGCTTGAGATATTTGGGATGAGGAATTTATGGTGCTGGACTCACAAGCAGCTGCAAAGTTTTTTGGGTTTTGCTAACTTTTACCTCCAATTTATTCCCTCATTACCTAGCATTGCACTGCCCATCATGAATCTCCTAAAATCAAAAGGAGAAGCTAAACCTAGGCTTGGTAAGCCTCTAAACTGGACTATAGAATGTCAAGCAGCGTTCGAGAAGTTAAAACAATTGTTTGCAGCTGAACCAGTTTTAAAACACCCTGACATGTATACCCCTTTTGTGGTCCAAACAGATACGCGTGACATAGTCGTGGGGACAGTGTTGCTCCAAACAAATGCAGATGGAAACCTGCAACCTTGCGCCTACACCTCCCCAAAACTAACAGAAACAGAATGAAGATGGGTAATGTGGGAAAAAGAAGCTTTTGCTGTGTGATGGCCTTGCTAACCTGGTGGCATTTCCTTGAGGGGGCTAAACACTCTTTTGAGGTATGGACTGATCATAAAAACCTTGAAGTGTTAAAAGCCCCACAAAAGCTGTCACCAAAACATGTCCGCTGGGCACAACATTTTAACCAATTTCAGTTTAAAACACATCGCTAGGGGAAAAGATTTTATGGCCGATGCCTTGTCCAGGCTTCCCCAGTACAACAGCACCAAATTATAGCAATAGCAATAGCAGTTCGACTTATATACTGCTTCATAGGGCTTTCAGCCCTCTCTAAGCAGTTTACAGAGTCAGCATATTGCCCCCACAG